GCATAGCTCAATGGCTCAACCGTGTATACCCCTTTTCATGCAAGAGGAAATGAATGGATGTTCACAACCTTGTTTTACATCTTAAGCCACATTTTCTGACCTCTAAGTTTCTTTTTTATATTCATTGATGATAATGTTTTCCCATGGCTGCCTTCTCCGGAAGGCTAGCACTCCATGGCCACGTCAGCACCACCAATCCTCCAGTTTACACAGGAGGGAGGGGTGTGTGTGTGTTTGTGTGTGTTTTCTTTTTTCCCCATTCTGATATGTCAGCCCTCGTGCGTCAGTTTGATGTAAAAGAGTGTGTCACCCCTCCCCACATCCTGACCTCTATTTTTTTCCACTCTGTCACAGCACCATAAGGGTTCCTCATCTCCCTTTTTTCTTCACCTTGCCAGGTTACTCCGCTCTACAGTTTTAAGAGTTGGTTTTTCGATTTAAAGAGACATCACACAGGATGCTGCTGTGAATCATCAGATTTGCTGTTAGTCAGCATCTGCACCGCTAAGAAGAATTGGTCTAATCAGTCATTAGACAGGTGCACAGCTGAGCACTGTGTGGCATAATTTCCATCTAATTTGTCTTAAAAGTGAGTGGAGTTAACAGTAAACACTTTGAACTCCCACTCAAATTAGATTCTAATATGGAAGTAATGATGGCCAAGCCCGTGTGACTGTCTTCATTTAGGCTGAGCTCTTCTCTTCTCTAGCAACCGTTCTGTGTGGGTTCTCAGGTGGAAAAATGACTCACGATTTAACTGGTCCTTTTTTTTTTGTGGTGATACATGCTAGCCGCTCTAAATGTACAATATGTAAGAATTATACATTGAAAATGAAAACAAAAGAGTTGAATATCTCAGTCGTGTTGGGAAGGTTGTATTGAAACAGGTTCCTTCTCAGCCGGCCAGGGTGTTGTCATTTTTTCTCAAACATAAAAAGCTGAGAAGGACGTAGGTTTTGGCTATATTCACGCTGCCGACAAAAGCTAATCAAATCCAATTTTTTTTCCTCACATTCAATTCAATTCAATTCAAAAATATGTTACAGCTGTTGCTGTTTACCTCAGAAAACGTACTCTGCAGAGGGCAATCAGTGCATTGCCTCCTCCTCCTACCTGCACAGCTGCACTCACTTGGGCTGATCACCTCCTGAGCAGCATAAAAGGGAGAGCTGCCAGGAGGAAGGGAGAGACTGGATCTGTGTCAGTTCTCTCATGTGCTCCATTTGTTGGTGTTTTAATGGTTTTTAATGGGGTTTAGTTCTTTAAGCTTAGAGAAGGACCAGAGTGCTGGTTACCTCTCGGCTCCCAAACTTGTGTTTAAGTCAGTGGACTTTGTTTTGTGAATGTTTGAGAGCCTTCAAATGTCTGTTTTAAATGTAAACCCTTGGCCATTTTAACAGTGTGTTTAAGTACTTTTAGATTTGGAGCTTTTTGACATTTTCAAATCCTTTTAATAAAATCAATGTTTACAATTTCCACACCTGAAATGCATGTCTCTGTGTTACTCCCCGTCCTTCTCCATATCCACCAATAGAGGACGTAACACAATAGGGGCTCGTCCGGGATATCAACCATCCCATGAAAGACTTTTAATGGCATGTGCTTTTTGCAAACAGGTTTTATTCATAGGATTTTAAGATGTGTGGTCAGCTGTGTCCTCTCAGGTATTGTGAGTATGTCCTTTATTAATCCCAGAGGGAAAATCAATTTCATGCGACCCGTTTCAGATTTTTTTTGTGACCATCTGAACGGCACAGATTAAATTTTTTTTCTAATCTGATCCAGGTCACTTTCATATGTGGTACCAAATCCGATACATATCAGATGTTTTTGTAAGCGACTTCAATCTGAACGGTGACGTTGCATTAAATCCACCTTTTACGTCACTGGTCATCAGAGGTGAGTGTTGTGTCTTGGTGCTACTTTGGAGAGGCGCTGACAGTAGGGCTGTCGCGGTTGAGGAATTCCCCCTGCGGTGATTCAGGATGGCTTAATATTGCGGTATGCGATATTATTGCAGTCCTTTTTTTATTGCAGTACTATCTAAACATAATGTTTACACATTTAAAAAAGGTTACAAATTGCCGTGCCTTCTTTTATAACACTTTACTGAATGCAGATCAAAGGGCAGTAACAACACAGATCGCAGTAACGTTTGTTTGTCCGACAGTCGGAGTCCGACTGAACTTAAAAACAACAAAATTCAGGAGAAGGTTAAACTTTTAAATGCAAATTTGGCTGCAGCATCTAACAAATAAGAAACAAGTCCCCATTTTGTTTAGTTGTTTAAAATCAAGCATAAAAATTACATGTACCGGGCGCACTATCATTTCACTTTCACACACACGAATGACGGTGATTTATAGCTCGGTCACGTCCTTGTTACATACAAGGAAAACCAGCATGTTAACCATATACGCTTTGAGAGAGGATCTGAGAGGGGAGGCAACATTTCCAGCAACACTGAAAACCCTCTCGGATGGTGCGCTCGTTGCACTTACCCCAAATTCCACTACCTCCGCTCCGGTCCGGCCCCGCTCGCTTCCGAACTCAACTTGCGTGCAACTCTGGCGAGCAAAGGGAATCTCTCCCGGTTGTTGCTCCACCATGTCAGGGGGGTTTCTTTAGGGTGGATGCATTCCTCCTGCAGGTAGCGAGTGAGCTCCAGCTCGGCTCAAACTCTCTTCGGGACGGTTGCAGAAGCAGTGCTTGTCCGGGACTTCAGGAGGTCTCCGAGCGTTTATTATTATAATTTTTTTTTTTTTTTTTGCCGCTGGTGGCAGCTCCGTCTCGGCCAAGGACTCTGGCTGCGCAGCAGCTGACGTACTGAAAACCAAAGCGCTCCCAAAGGAGCGAAGTAACGTTTCGTTTTGATACCAGTGCAGCCATCCTTCTCAACATGCATCATTGAGTTGAATCAAGTTCAGTAATCGCGGTGGCCCATGATGCAGCGCGGTGGGCTTCTTCATATTGCGATATTTAATTTTTGCGGTTACCGCGACAGCCCTAGCTGACAGAGGGATTCAGAGGACTGTCTGGACATCCTGTCAGGGGGTGGCCAGACGGGGCCAAAGAAATCTTTGGAGTGGCACACCAAATTGGTCCTCGTGGTAACTCTGGGAGAGTTTAGCATCTAGCGATGTATTGCATTGCTTCTTTATTAGTTTTTATTTAAAAAAAAACCAGTACATATCCGAAACATTTAACTTAAATTTTCCAAACACAAACATGTCAGAAAAATACATTTTGGTTATTTAAAATGTTATTTCAACGTTATTCCTCCACATCGAGAAGAGCCAGTTGAGGTGGCTCGGGCATCTGGTCAGGATGCCTCCTGGACGCCTCCCTGGTGAGGTTTTCTGGGCACGTCCAACCGGGAGGAGGCCTAAAGGTAGACCCATCGTCTGTTTTGGTAAATAAGCATGTATAATGTTTGAGCAGTATTTTTGAAAACACAAGGCTGGGGAAAACTGCATCCATGAAATACCTCTAAAAGCAGTACTTCCCTTTAGTTTTCATCCTTGCGTTGGAGTAATGGCTTACTGGTTTGTAAATGTTACTCGACATTGTGAATATTTTGCTGAAGCTTGAGTCAAAAGAAAACCTTGAAAAAAATCGAAACAATTTCTGGCAGAAAACCCCCAATTCAGTCATTTCCTAAAATCGTTCAGCCCAAGTTGGAAAGATAGGATGATAATACGATAAAGCATGCATGACGCTTCTTACATCATGGTGTATGCTGCCATTGTCCTCATTGCATTATGTTCTCCTAGGACTTGTGATAGATGGTACCACCAATTGCAATCCCCGTTACAAATTCCAACCAACAACCTTAGATAAACAAGTCACGTTAGCTTCCTCACACCTTCCGTTTCACAAAACTCAATTGCTTTTCATTTTTCTACAAGCTTAGCCTGCTCCTCTATTAGGTTAACCACTGCAGCAGCGAACTCTGAACCTGAATCATTTGATTTTCTCTTGAAGTGTGCACACACAGTTTCTGCTGCATCCCTACAGGAAATTCTGCTTTCATGCATATTTATGATTTCAAAAGTACACAAAAGAGGGCATAAGCTACTTAAACACACTGCTAACTTCATCCTCTCAACAATTTAAAGTGGTGCTTTTGCAGGATAACTTTTTAAGTGGACCGATTTTATATACTTTTTAGTTTTCGGTGAGTTACCAAACAAACTGGCTTCTGTTTGTATGCCTGCTTGAAGCCTTTGTTTCTTATGCTCCCATGAGAGGTTGAGGGTGAGTGCCAGGGCCTAAGGCAGCGGGGCTGGCCGTCGGTGTGACCGTACACAGTTTCGTACCTCTGTAACTCTTAAAATACCCTTTTCATTACAGTATATTTTAGAAAAGGAATGTAAAAAAAAAGTCTTCTCGTGTTTTCCCGAGAGGTTAGAGAATCCCTCTGCTTCTCTGCGATGTCTGGTTTTAGGGCCTATTGTTTCTTTCTTAGATTTTTAAAAAGTGAAATGTGCTAATGTGGCTTGGAGATTTTTTGTCTCCGTGACTTTTTGCTGAGCTGTCGCTTCTCTGAGCTGAGCTAAGCGGCTGAACTGGCCTCTACAATGGAGCAGGAAACTTTGTTGTTTCTCAGCACTTTTATAAAGGGGCTCCTACATTTGCAAGTAATGAAGAAATGCATTATCTGTCTTTTTAGCCATAAATATTAAGACTAATTGAAAATGCAGAGTGAAACCACTCTGTGTTCCTCTTTAGCAACATTTTTGTACTAAAACACTAAAGCATTTAAACACAACGTGAGTGTAGCCAACCTCTTCTAAATGAGGTTGGTGTTTTGTAGCACATTCTTATTATTTAGCTTCCACAGATTCTGGATCAGCCTTATTTCTACAGTGCAGTCTGAATCTGTCTGACTCAAGTTACACCCTGCCCTCTGTCCAACACCCTCCACTATTATCAGATTTGATCAAAGACGAGTCGGTCTCTTGTCCTGATGTAGTGTTTGATCGTTCACCTCCTCACAGGTCCTGCTCAGGTTCCCATGATGTCTCCAAATGGTTCAGTGCCTCCAATCTATGTGCCTCCTGGATACGTGTCACAGGTGAACCCTTCCCTCCCCCCAAACGATGTTTGCTGCTATCTTATTTGAACTCTGAGGAGGTTTGTGCTCGTGTTAATTTGTTGGTTTCCCACTAGATCATAGAAGAAAATGGAGTGCGGAGGGTTCTGGTTTTACCTCAGCAACCAGATTTCCACCCAGGGGGACATTCCCCTCTCCACCATCCTCCACCACCACCCCATGCGCACCTGCCTGCCTTCATCCCGCACCCTGCCATGATGCCTCCTCCGCCTCACCTGTACACAGGCATTGCTGGGGGTGTGGGGGACTTGAGCTCCCAGTACATCTCCCAGTATCACCCGGCTCAGTTCTTCTCAGACCAGGGTGAGCTGGAACAAGCAGCCGCTCTCATGTATACAAATAAAATCTGAAACTCTTTAATCTTGTTCTCTTTTCTTTTTGTCCTCTTTCAGTTTCTACAGATTCTCTTTCCCAACACGGACGCCCATCGTTTGTTCACAGAGACGACCGAGCGAGCAAAGCACACGAACGTCTCCAGAAGAAAGTGAAAGAACGTCAGGGAGTTGGAGGTGGCGGAGGGCAGGTGAAGGATAGTCCCCCACCATCACCTCGGAAATCCTGCAACAGTCCCCCAACTGTGGACATCCAGAACGGCATCGGAGGGAAGGCGCTGGACGCGGAGCACAGGCATGTGGTAGCCTGCTCTGACAAGCAGACAGGCAAAGAAAAGAACGGAGAGTTGAAAGGTGAGGCTCTAAGGTTTCACTCATTGTTTTCATTTCATCTTTGATTTCATTAAATGTATTGTTTGTCTAAATTTGCTGCCTTTTTCTCCTGTTTTCTTTTTAACAGAACTTGATAAAGAGACTCAGGCTTTGCTCGCACTTTTGAGTAACATCACCAAACCAGAGGTTGGTGATTTTCTCTCATTTATTTGATCTTTTATGTTTCCGTCTGAGCAAACAAACGGTTCTATCACTAGCAACGCATAAAACAAACACTAATCCTTTGTTTTTATTACAGAAGAAAGCTATGAGAATGATATATAAAGTAGATGCTAGGGAACATACCAATAGACTTTTTATTGAATCAAAAATTATGAAATTCAGGGATTTGGTTCTTTTGAAAACTTTACTAATTATGTTAAGGGCAAAAAAGAGGTTACTGCCACTGAAGTTACAGAAGTTTTTTGTTTTGATTTAAATGATGGAAAAAATAGAAAGAAGCCTGAGGTTAAAAGAGTTTTTGCACAAACAACATTAAAGCAAATGTGTATTTCAGCATATGGAGTAAAATTATGGAATAATCTGGATCATGACCTGAAAAAATGTTTAACTACCGATCAATTTAAGAGACTATATAAAGAAAAAATCATGGAGTCGTATGATTGATAAGTAAATATTGGATAAGTATATTGATAAGTTTTATTGTGATTTTGTTTACAAGGATAAGGAAGTTCTATACTTGGTTTGTGTATAAGGCCATTGTGTAAATTATATTGTATGAAGTAGAAAGGGGTAGGTCATATAAGACTTCTTCCTCCTCCCCCTTTTTTCACTTAGGAGACTGTTGATGACTGTATTTTGCACGAATGATGAATGAAACTGCTGAGTGAGAAAATAAATGAACAATTTCTGTTTCAAAATATTAAAAAAGGGAAAAAAAATGTTTCAATAAAATGACTCGAGACTAGGAGATCATGGTTTACCAGATTATTTGACCTGTTGGTCAAGCACTAGAAACTAGACCTAGTACAAGAAAGGTCCTTAAATGTCTCATTCGCTAATTGTTTATCCTTTTTTTTCCTCAATAGCTTAGCTGTGGTCTCTAGTATGAATTAGTACTTTGTGAGTCGTTCTCTCTGTTAAGAAGTTCTGGTGCTCCTGTTTCACAAGTTACAAGTTAGTCGGAGGACCTGTGGGCAGACAGTTATAGGATTATGAGACTTGGTCATAAATATTCATGATATGTGAACAGCTTTCCTCTGATCGGCTAATAGCATTGCAACTCTTCCGCTGCCTCCGTTCACTCTTCTTAATTGAAAAATGCAATGTTCATGTCTTCTTTCCACAAATAAGAGAGGCTGGAAAATGTTTCACCATGTTGTGGACTTCCTAATAGTTAGCTTCTACTAGTCAGACCATCTGTGGGTGGTCCCAAGCCAAAGTGGGTGTGGCCATACATTTATCTTTGTTTTTCTCACCCAATCATCTTGTCATTTATTTCTTTTTTTGCCACTAATGCATGGGGAGACATTTAAAGACATTTTTCACATTCAACATGTAACTCGGAGTGACCGATTGTATTGGTTACATGGTTTATCAGTGAACAATACCCTTTTTTCGTGGGTAACCCATGAAAACTTCTGATTCCAGGTGTCCGACATCCAGGCCAGAGAAGCAGTCGTCAACTGGAGCGACCCCACCCGGCCAGAGAGTGAAAACACCACCACTGAGGAGGAACCAGTCCTCCCAGAGCCCCTCAGCTATGAGATCTCCATCTCCATTACTGGCAAAGATGGGAAATATCAGAGCAAGTACAGGTATGTTTTAAAGTCGTGTTTTTTACAGTGATGGGAAAAAAAAAGCTAAAAATAAAAATGTTCAATTCTCTGTTGATGCAGTGGGGAGGGACTCAGTGCGACTTTAGAAGGCCTTCGACCAGCGACAGACTATCATGTCAGGTGGAAACGACTTTCCTGCCTGCTTTAAATTTTCCCAGTAAAACAACCTGGTGTAAACACTTGTTTTCTCCTCCAGGGTCCAGGCGATGTGCACCAGTTTACTGGGCAGCCCGTCTGAGGCCGTGAGCTTCACCACTCTCAGCTGTGAGCCGGATCCTCCCGGTCCTCCCAGGAAGTCCAGCGGGACCAAAAACTCCCTGACACTGCAGTGGAAGGTGATTTCACGTAACTCCCTCGTGATGCTGGAGTTGGTTAATAAAAATGTTTTTAGTTTTATTTTGCAAAGCTATCTGCAGAAATAAAATGCTGCATGTTATTATGTTATGTTATACAACAGCTTTGGTATGGATAGATTTAAAAAGTGCAGCATTTATACCGAGCTGGCAAAACGACATCAAGTAAACCATTCTCTTCTTCCTCAGGCTCCTTGTGACAACGGATCCAAGATTAAAAACTACAACCTTCAGTGGGATGAGGTAAAGTCTGATTCTGAAGCGACCCCCGTCTTAAATCTCAAATGTGTAGGTTTGATTTGGAGTCACTCTCCTGACCTAAGCCCATGTTTCTCAAAGGGCAAAGGCACTGGTGTGTTTGAACAGTGCTACTATGGACCTCAGAAGCAGTACCGAGTGACCAAGCTGTCTCCAGCTTCTAGATACTCCTTCCGACTCGCCGCAAAAAACGACATGGGTGTGAGGTAAGCACCCCTCCATCCTACGGTGCCCTCGCCGTCGTCCATTTTTATGTTACTTTTTCGTTCCATTTGCCGTCTCCATCTGTATGTCCATGTATGTGTCTCACTCGGTCTTTGCTGTCTCTTTCTCCCATCCTCTCCCGTCCTCTGTCTTTCTCTGCCCTCCCCAGCGAGTTCAGTGAAGTGGTGGACCTGTTCACCTCATGCAGTGTGCCATTGCCACCCTTCCCTCCAGAGCTGGAGATGGCAGGAGTGACCTGGCTGTGTCTGAAGTGGCAGAGGCCCAGTAGCTCACCCAAGGAGGACGACATCTACTATATTTTAGAGATGGAGGAAGAAGACTCGGTAAATATCCTTCAGATAATTACTCTTCGCTGTAGCGATTTAGCCTTTTTTTGGCTTCTTTCATTATGAAAGGTGTGCTTACTGCTGTGCAACAAAGCGATCATAGACCTGGGGCTGCGTTCAAACTGGGTCTACGGTGATGTGAATTTCTTTGTTTTTAAAATACGACACTTCGTCTTCTTGGCGAGGAGACTTACAAAAATAACCATTGGATTATTTCAATGAAATTAAAATAAATGTGAGTATTTAGAATAAAGTACAACAGCAGTGTCCTTTTTTCCCCCACTGTGGGGAAGTTTAGGTGTAATGGCAGAAAAGTAGATTCGCTCAAGAACGGGACGCTTTATGGTAAATAAAAGAACATTATCATTATAATTTATTATAATTTTTTTTAAAGTGACCGTGTGAATTGTCCCTGGTGATAGGGGGCAAGCAGCATTTTTGTGTTCAAGTAAGACTTTACCAACGGATGGCCATTAGGGTCAAAAATCCCGAACAAGTACTTTGTCAGATCGTTCAACCTCAAGCAAAATAACAAGCACATCAGTGAAGATGTTAATGTTTAAGCCAACGACCTTTATGAATTACAAAAGTTTTGCATCCGTTACAAATCAGTAAATATGTTTGTTCCTCACAGGCTCCTGTAGAAGGAAACATCGCGTCGCTCAAGGACTTGGACCCGCTCCCTTGTGTTTTACACCCAATTTTTAGCGTTGTATGTTACAAAGCCGCCAATGCTTTTCAACACTTGGACATCATTTAATTAATTTTCTACAACATTTAGTTGGATATCTCCAGAGATTAACAGTAGAATTACACATTGTCTCTCTAATATTCATGATCTAATATGAAACTATATCAAAATGATTTGTTTTCCTGTCGCCCATCTCCACGTGAATTCACACAATCATCAAAGCAGGCTTTAAAATGTGTAGATTTATTTTTGTCGTAGGTGGAAAGTGTTGTAATAATCATCTTAATATGAAAAAAAAAATCCCACGACACGCAGCCACCGGCAGGTTTGGCTGCTGTTGAAACGCTTCCCTCGACACCTGTGGCGGCTCCTCCCACAGAGCACTTTGTTTCCCGTGCTACAGCAGTGGCTGAGGAAGTGATTGCTCAGCTGGTGCTTTTTGCTTCTCCCTCCTTCATCTTTCTCCCAGGGATATGGCTTCCAGCCAAGCTATGACGGCGATGAGCTCTCCTTCACCGTGAGGAACCTCCACAGGAGCTCCAAGTACAAGTTTAGGGTAAGTGAGCTTCGCGAGGCGTTAAGTCAGAACAGGTGATCTGTTGGTTTAATTTGGGAAGTGGAGTGTGTGTGTGGGGGGGGGGGGGCAGCAGCGTCCCACATTCCCCACATGACTCATCCATTCACAGGATTCTGCCAGCAGAGCTGACAGCATCAACAGGAGGGTTGATCACATGCTCGGCCCCAGTGAGAAGCTAGCTGACCGACATGCAGCCTTTTAGCTGGCAGGATGACGCAGAAGTTAGCGACAGACCGGTGTTTTCCTCGCTGTCTCACGCTCTCACTCCTCTGATGTTCACGTTGGTTCCTTTCTGTGGTGGTTATGGCTTGTTTTTTCTGCCATTTGTCTCCAGAATATGAAATCAAATTAAGCTCTAGACTGATAAGGAAATTACGGGCTTTACTCGGTTAGCCAGAGGAATGACTGCCAGCTCAAGTCTAAATAGCATCAGCCAAGCGCACTAAAACACGACCTAAATTAACAAAAAAAAATCTTCCCTCTGTTTTGATTATCCAGCTGCATGGTGTGAGGAGAGGATCTTTGTCTTAGTCCACTGAGCTCTGCTCAGCAGGCTTGTGCAGAAATATACATTATTACAGATGAAATGCAAATGCCACTAAAGCTACATTGACTCAGTTTGGCATAATTTGCCAAGCTCGCGGTGTCAAAGCAGGTTTTTTCTGCAGATGTAGGCAGCAGATTCCTGTTCCTACGTTCTCTGGGTTGTTTTATTTGCAGGCACACTGATTCCTGCAGCCTCTCCGTCTCCTGTGACTGACTTGTTTTCTGGAAACATAACAGCTCTTACATAGTTTCCTTTGGGCAAACGGTTTGCCAGCGTTCTGACAGAAATGATGACCGCTCACTGCCTGTATTCATGCACTTTAACCAGGTGGCAGCATACAACTCAGAAGGGAAGAGTAACCCCAGTCAGGTTGTGGAATTCATCACGAAGCCAGACAGACCAAGTTGCCCCTGCAGACCTGTCATCAGAGGACGAGTCCAGCCCGACAGCTTCAAAATGGCTTGGGGTGAGCTTCCCTCCAAGTACCTCTTCACTAAAAACTCCTCCGCGCTGTTTTGTTGTCGAGCTGCCAAATCCAGTTTAAAGATTCCCCTTAGCTTCTGAAGCTAACGCTAGACGACGTAGTCTGATGGCTGGTTTTCACATCTAACACCTCTGTGGAGAAATGGCATGTCTGACTTTTATTTTTATTTTTATTTTTTATATCCAGAGCCTCCTAAAGAGAACGGTGGAGCAGAGATCACAAAGTATGTTGTGGAGCTGTCTGAAGGCGTAACTGGTTAGTCGCACAGAATAACAAGACAGTTTCAGATGAATAGAGCTGTTGGATCTGTGGGATGATTTGTATGTTTTTGGTTTTTAGGAGCGTCGTGGGAGCTGGTGTACTCGGGGTCAGCCCTGGAACACGTCTGTGGCGGTTTGAAACCCGGCTGCTCCTACCGGACCAGAGTTTACTGCATGAGCGAGGGGGGGCAGAGCCCAGTGAGTCACTCTGCTCTAGCGCGCGTGCACGCATGGTGATGTGCAGCTTTGTGTTTCTGCACAAGAGTCTGATAACACTTTATTTTGGCTGCAGGGAGGAAACGTTTTTTGTTTTTTTAAATGCTCCTAGGCTCATTTTTAACGAGGATTTAAACGCTCTACGTTCGTGTTTATGTGGTTAACATTTTCTTAACCTGAGCAGCTCCACGTATTCATTCTCAGTCCGTTAAGTTTGAACAAAAACTCATTTAGTCCACCTCCAGTGGTGGTTGATTAGAAAGCGCGAGACAATCCTGCTAATCAGTTAGCCCAGCTTTAATTTGTCGGAGGAGGTTTCTGCGTTTTAGCTCACTTCAGAAGCTCTTCGTTAATTCCTCCAGCAGCTTTTGCTGCTTGCGCTGCTAAAAGACACGAGTCACTGCGGGAAGTTTTCGTACCTCTGAGGTAATCTGCCAAATATCCATGGAGGTTCCTCGGTTTGCTGGTGCACGTCTAAACAATGCATCCATGTTTGCCTCCTCGGCAGTCCGCCGTCGCCTGAATCATCGCGATAAGCCGGTGAAAACGAAAACTGCATCCCTTTGTCAGGATGACTGTGAGGATTTTGTGAGATTGTCAATTTGTTATTTTAACTGGTGTGCCGTTATTTTGTTTTTTTTCCCAGTTGTCAGAAACGCTGCAGGTCCAGACTCCCGCTGTGCCCCCAGGGCCATGCCAGCCCCCTCGGCTGGTGGGCAAGCCCAAAGCCAGGGAGGTGCAACTGCGCTGGGGTGAGTCACTCCTCTCACTTAGCTGTGTGTGGGATGTGTTTCTAGCTTCTGCTGAGGAGATGAGCTTTGACCATGTTGTGTTTTTGTGTTCTTTTTTTTAAAATCAGGATTCATTTGTAATGTGATTTATTTGCATTGAAAACTTCTCAGGTCCTCCTCACATCGACGGAGGAAGTCCTGTGACCTGCTTCAGCGTAGAGGTCATCGGGCCCCAGTCTGATGAGAGCAGGGAGGTCTACCAGGGTCCGGAGCTGGACTGCACCGTGGGAGGGTTGTCGCCCGGCAGAACATACGGCTTCCGGCTCAAAGCGGCGAACAAGGCTGGGGTGAGAGACTAATCCAGGAGATGCTTTATAACTCTAGGCTGAAATGATTAAATACCGTTTTTTTTTTTTTTTTTGCTGAAACAGTTTGGGCCTCTCTCAGAGCGCTGTGAGGTCACAACTGGCCCCGGAGCCCCTGAGCAATGCAAAGCCCCTTCAACCACGTGCAAATCCCCCAGCTGTGTTGTCGTCAGCTGGGAGGTGAGACCTGCTCGGTTTCTGTTCAGACATCATTCGACACACACCATTCTGGGAAAATAAAGGACCGATCACAATTTGGTTTGACTCTTAGGCGCCTCCTTGTAATGGCGCTCCGGTGACGGAGTTCCGTCTGGAATGGGGAGCGGCCGAAGGCAGCATGCAGGTGTGTTACAGCGGAGCGGGACTCAGCCATGAAATGAAGGGGCTGCTGCCTGCAACCAACTACTTCTGTCGAGTGCAGGTGAGCTTCAAACCAATTTTTATCACAAGGATCCTGTTTTCATGGCAGGGCTAAACGATTCTGGAAAGTAATCCAATTGCTATTCTCTACTTCAGTATTGTAATATGTGATTTAATTCACAATTATTAGGGGCTTTTCTCCTGTTTTTTCTACAAACGGAAGCAAAAAGAAAATATGCAAGTTGTACTGAATATAAACAAGTTTATGTATCTACATATTTATCTACATATCATAACAAGTTTATTTGTCTACATGTAAATAAACACAAGTAAGGACAACATTTTGTATGTGAAGGTGCAAATTTTTGCAGCCAGGAGCACATCCCTTGAAGGAGCATAGGTATTAGCATCAACTGTGAAAATGTATTTGCAGGAAAGGAGTGCGTCCCGTTTATAAACGTCTGTTGTGTTTGGAGTTTTTGACGTATTGTCCACGCAGAGCTTCCGTAGTTCAGCTGCATCCAAAGCTGCTAGCCAAAACAGTGGAGTGAAAGTCTCTTACGGTTTTCTAGCTTTAATAAATATCTGTCTGTACTCATTTGATTGATGGCAGTTTTTACTTTTTATTAGACTCCAGATTTAATCATTTGGCACATTCCTAATTTGTAATTGTAAGACTGTAATCTGCGATATTAGCATCCCTATGGGGTTTTCCATGTATATTAGCATTGTGCTAACCACTCACTGTCAAATCGCAGCTTTTAGAAAATCTCCTTTTGTCACATCGCAGTTTAATTGCATATGCAATGAATCGTTCGGCCCTATTTCAGGGTGATTATTTATAATGTCCGCAGTCACATTAGAAAGAAAATCTCCTCTGGAAATCTACAAGAACATTCAGAACGACTGAAAACGAAGACGTACGGAGCGCAGATGTGTTTTATATCATTGAAGGATAAGGGAGTAGAACATATTTGTAATGTTTCTGAGTTTTATAGTTTTAAGTTTACTAAACTTTTTTCTCACAATCAAAAGCTTTTCTGCATTCTAAAGTTAAATTTTGTTATTATAGAAAGAACTAAACAAAATGTTTGATGTTATTCTGATTTCAGTTAAAAGATGAGTTTGTTTGAGAAGTTTATCAGAAATTAATGTTTTTTTTTTCAATATGCAGTTTTCTTTGTTGATGATCAGATATGTAAATGTTTTTCATGTGTGTGACTGGTTGGCAATTCCCACTCCTACCATTATGAACATAAATATAAAGAAATCCCTTGTTTCTGTTGAAATGTTTACATTAGAACGTCGCCTTGTGGAGAAACGTGGGTGTTGCGTTTGTGTCCTGGAGCCTGCATCAGACTCGTGTGTTTTTCAGGCTGTGAACGTGGCCGGTGTGGGGCCCTACAGCGAGGCGGTGCTCTGCCAGACGCCCTGCTCGGTGCCGGCAGCTGTCAGCAACATCTACTTGCTGAAGGAATCGGAGCTGCAAAGGTACGGAAGTCCGGTGGATGCAGACGAGGATGAGGAGGGCGGTGTCATCCACCCGCCGCTTGCCTTCTCTCCGTCCACCTGTCTGGGCATCTGTTGGGACGCTCCATGTGATCACGGCTCAGAGATCACTTCCTACCTGATCGACCTCGGAGAGAAGCAGCCCATCGTCGTCGGTCCTGTCACCAAATACGTCATCCAGAATCTGCAGCCTGACACCAGCTACAGGTCGGAGCTTTTTGTTTTCTGGCTCTGCTCTAGTCCGTGTTTTTGCCGTGCGGGGTCTCAACTCTAAACCCAAACATGTTGAGCCAACTGGATAACAAGAATGTCACCTTTCTGAAAAGGCGTTTACTCTAAATTAGCTTTTTTTGCAGAATCCATTGTCATCTCCAAGCTCCTCATGTTGATTCTTAGTGATGCTTTATTTTTATTTCTTTAGTGGTTTTTGTGAAGCGGACACAACACAAAATCCATTCAGCCTGACAAAGCCTGAAGTAAACCCTCTGCTAGTGAAATGTGCCCACCTGATGCTACTTCTAAAGCCTCTGTCGTGTTTCAGCAGCTTTCAGAAACTTAAGCCTTTCGGCTCTTTTGATGTTTTCATCGTCTTCTCTCACAGGATCCGAATCCAAGCCCAGAATAGCCTGGGAACGGGGGCCTTTAGCCACACCTTTAAGCTAAAGACGAAGCCCCTGCCCCCACAGCCTCCACGCCTGGAGTGCACCGCCTTTAGCCATCAGACCCTCAGGCTCAAGTGGGGCGACGGCCCAGCCAAAACCGCCACCTCCGACACCCTCCAGTCTCATCTGCAGATGGAGGACAAGAACGGCAGGTCAGCAGTGAACCAAACCAAAGGACAGATGTGTTTTTATGATTAAACAGAAGCCTTAGAGAGCCGTTTACATCCGCCTTTGAAGCAGGAGCCACAACGGCACAGAAGTCTCTCATTTCACTCCTTATTTACTCTGGACTCATTAAATCCTCTCTCTCTCTCTCTCTCTCTCTCTCGCTCTCTCTCTCTCTCTCTCTCGCTCTCTCTCTCTCTCGCTCTCGCTCTCGCTCTCTCTCTCTCTCTCTCTCTCTCTCTTTCTGCCTCTCTCTCTCTCTCTGTGTCTTTCTGTCTGTCTCTCTCTCTCTCTGCCTCTCTGTCTGTCTGTCTCTCTCTCTCTGTGTCTTTCTGTCTATCTGTCTGTCTCTCTCTCTGTGTCTTTCTGTCTGTCTGTCTGTCTCTCTCTCTCTCGCTCTCTCTGCCTCTCTCTCTCTGTCTGTCTGTCTCTCTCTCTCTCTGCCTCTCTCTGTTTTTCTGTCTGTCTGTCTCTCTCTCTGCCTCTTTCTCTCTCTCTCTGTCTTTCTCTCTCTCTTTCTGTGTCTTTCTGTCTGTCTGTCTCTCTCTCTCTGCCTCTCTGTCTGTCTGTCTCTATGTCTCTCTCTCTCTGTGTCTGTCTGTCTGTCTCTCTCTGCCTCTCTCTCTCTCTCTCTCTGTCTCTCTCTCTCTCTCTCTCTCTCTCTCTCTCTCTCTCTCTCTCTGCCTCTCTCTCTCTCTGCCTCTCTCTCTCTCTTCTGCTTCATGCTCCTGTCGTTGCAGATTTATATCCTTGTATAAAGGACCATGCCACACACACAAAGTCCAGAGGCTTAATGAGTCTACCTCTTACACGTTCCGCATCCAGGCCTTTAATGAGGCGGGCGAAGGGCCCTTCTCCTCTGTTTACACGTTCACCACCCCACGCTCTCCTCCAGCTCCTCTGAAAGGTACTGCACCACTTTCCTTTTGTTCTCACTTTATTCTCCTTGTTTTTTGTTTTATATACAGTGTGCAGCCGTTCTTAATAAATTCACAACTACTTACAGCTGACAGCCAGTGCTGCTCAGCTTTTAACCTCATTGGAGTAAGACCCCAGCAGGACCAGATTCACTTGTCGGCTGTCATCAGGAGTCGGCTGCTCGGCTCCGCGGTTCGCTCGCTGCCAGCCTCTTTTGATCCCACACAGCGGAGTCAATAATGAGGATGTGAGCTGTTTGGTCAGAGGAGCGGCGCTTTTGATTCTGGGTGTCATGTGCCGGACTGTCGGTGTTACTCAGCGCTGTGTGTGCCTGCCAGCCCCCACCCCTGCCCAGTGAAGTGGGCTCTCAGACGTAAGCAGTTGATCCGGAAGAACAAGTCAAACGTGAGACTAAAGTTAGAAAACCATAAAGTTACGTTTGAGCTTTGACATCAAAATGTTCGCACGTGCACTAGTGACATCACAAGTCCTTCTGCTATGTCAGACTGACATATTCCGCCTAATCGACAGCGATCCACAAGTCTGAACCAGTCTTTCTCAGAAGCAGACAATTTTTTTGAATTTCCTTGTGTTTTGAAGCATCAATCAACAATCTACTGCTTCCTGATTAGTTAGAGCCACACATAAGCAGTGTTAATTTCGTCAACGACATATTCTTTGTTTGTTTTTTTTCTTGTGACAAATGAAGTGTCGCGGACTAAAACTAAATGAAAACTAAAACACACACATCTATAAAGACTAAATTCGGACCAATATTGATTGACATTGTCATCGACGAATAAAAGGCGACAACGAAATTTGACGGTAACAAAAATCTAATCAGTAAACGTGAACGATTGGAGAACTGAAAAAAAGAACCATTCAGCAAATTAAACAGGCGGGACTAGACGAGAAAAGAACCAATCAGAGTCCAGAGCCGGCCGCTGTTTGAACAAGTTACGGCAACCACAGACATCATATATTGATGTTTATGCCGGTAACAGTTGAACATTTTATATCTAAAAGGAGAAAATGTCTGAGGCTGGGAGGTAAAGTGTTAAATGTGACCATCTGAAAAGTTTTTGCTTGGTAAGTGCACAGCTGGTTTCTCCTGGTTTTAAGCGTTCCGTGGTAGCAGCAAGCCGGGGCGGGTGAGGTCAGGAACCGAGCTGACAGAGCTGTGCATCGGGTCGTTTAATCACTTTTCCTTTCGTGGTGCTGCGACTACCAATTTTATCAGCAGTGTTTTTGTGAGAAAAAAGTCTATAAAAACGTTCAGGCAGCCCACCTTAGTGAATCAGTGAAGGGAAAACTATAATTAATACATCTGAAAACAATTCTTACCTTTAGTTTACCTCCTGGCGTTATTAGAGCAACACCTGTTAATGTTTTGATGATAATGATGTCACTTCCTGGCACGTTATACAGATTTGTTTACTTTATTAATACTGAGAGACACAGTTTCAAACTGTCAAGTGTTTATTTTTGTATTTTCTATTAATTATTGTTATTAAATCAGTTATAAATATAAAGTTTTATTGATCCAAAGTGTGAAATGTATAGTTTTCATATTTCTTTACGTTCTCAAGTAGGTGTAGTTAACATTTCCTTTACAGAAGTTAAAAACTATTGCATCAGAAGAAGTATAGTATATTTTAGTCGACTATAATTAAAATAAATTAGACTAAATTGTGAATAAAATTAAAAAGAATTTTAGTCAAAAGACTAAAATCAAATCAAGGTTTCTTGTCGAAGCATTACTGACCTGTCGGCCAGTAGTTAACGGTTTAGCTCTAGTGGGGGGGGGGGGGTGGGGGGGCTTTCACCTGTTGGATCAGGTAAGATGTGATCAAAGGTTTGAAGCAGATACGAGGTTATGGTGAAAACTTTGGAATAGGATCGATTTTAGGAAAAGATTGAATTGCAATTTTTCTAGCAGAAATTGCGATTTCGGTTCAATTCACGATTTTCTGCAAACAAAGGTCCAACATTAGCCTGCTAAGCCATCCTGTAGATTGAGTGAAAAGATGGTCTAGATTCTAATCTAGTACAACAAATCATTCACATTAATATTTACTTTTTAATCATACAATAAAAACAGTAAAAGCTTTTAATATTTTCTCCCATTATTGTATTTTTTATTTTTTATGTGTTTGTGAAGCAACTTGTGCTTGTGATTTTTATCTAGAGAGGAGCTTTATAAAAACCATGTTCTACTCAAAAAATGCATGGAGGAAATCTGTAGGTAGAAATAGCTTTTAAATGCATTAAATAACAAAAAATGCACAGTTTTCCCTGCATTACCAAGGCAGGCTGGCTGCACGTTTTTCGAAGCTGTCTGATAGTTTTTCCTGACTAAAACGTCAACTCTGTGAGAGAGAGACACACGCATTCTGACACCTTAGCTTGTTTGAACTAACGTGTGCCATCAGAAACATTCAAACCATTTTTAAAAGAGAAGTCGAGCTTTCTAGTCAACTACAGTGCGCGACGCCGCACTCGCTCTGATGAAGCATGAACCAAGCTTAGAAATCAGCCTGAACCAGCTCCGATGTGGGAGGAGTCTCTCTCTCCCTTACTCAACTACGTTCTCTCTCTCTGTGCCGGGCTCACCTACGGTGCCATTATTATCGGCTCTAGCAGCGCTGTGTGTGGGAACATAAAACAGGGAAAATAACCTGAACATGCAGCTCTGGCAGCTGTGGAGTTGGGCTCGGCTCTGGACTGTACATCCCACCTCCCTCCCCCACGCTGGCTTTTGCCGCCACCGTAACACGGGGGAAAACCACGGACGTAAAAAAAAAAAAAGTTACACAACTGATCCTGGATCAGTCAAAACCACAGCTTTGACGGTCACGTGATCATGCTGTTTGAAATCGCATTTTCGATCCAAAAACGATGGATCGTTCAGCCCTGCTTTGGAAAAAAGAGAAAAGCTTTAAGGAAATTTATTTACACGGACATTAATTGGACCCTTGTGGAGTTAAAATACATTTGTTTGTTATTTTTGTTTGTTTGTCTGAGATGGCTCTATCCTGTCAATGGAAGGCTTTGGATGATGAGTTGGACGTTATTCAAAAGCTTTTACTGTCTGACCCAGAACAATGTGATTTTCTGCCAGCAGTACGATGAATGCTAGCTAGTTAACAGTCAACAAGATGGCAGGATTGCGGCATAGCTGTTAGATCTGTATTATTGATAGTCGTAATAAACATTCCAAGGTTACAAAAAATTGCAAAAGAGAATGAAGCATTTTGAAATGTATTAAAATGCTGTCACCAGATTGCTGTAGAGTGGGAGGTTAGTAAAGTTTCTACCTTAAAAACCACTGAAACCAGTTTGAAAGCAATAGCTTAAAGCATTAAAAACTCTTTAAAGCTGCTTAATCAGAGCTGCAGTTATCTGTAAATCCAGATCTTACTCGAAACGATTAATTCATTTTGAATCAGCTTCTGATTTATTTCTGATTTTATTGACTCATCTCTGCCTTCTTTGCTTTCTACCTTCACTCTTCAGCCCCTAAATTGGAGCGTCTGGACGACAACTCTTGCGAAGTCACATGGGAGTCCCTCTCACACATGAAAGGGGACCCAATCAGCTACAGCTTGCAGTGCATGATGGGAAACACGGAGTTCAAACAGGTACTGAAATTCTGCTCCTGTTGTTCCATCCTCTATTACCTTGAGCTGACCCACCGTTCATCACCCGGGTGTACCCAGGGCCGTAATGTTTTTTCTCCGCCCCTCTGCAGCACTGCCACTGTTGGCTTTAAATTGCACATTATGTGAAGGTCATTGATCCATGAGGCATCGCAGGTGTCTCACCCGTCTCCACGTCCATCCGTCAAGGTGGCCTGCAGCCATGTTAACTTGGAAAAATGGCAACAGCAGGCGTATGCTAATCTCACCACATCACATCTTGCAATTGAATCAGGAAGCTGAAATATGAGGCTGTCCTTTTTGTTTTTCTATTGCGTCAGAACTGTTTATGAAACAGGATCATCAGCCAAGAAATTTTACGATTGGTAAAAGTAAACTAAAATCAGAGCCCTACGCGGGACTTTAGGAATGTGTATTGGTGAAATTCTGGCAATTCAATTCAATTCAAAAATACTTTATTAATCCAATATTTGTATTAATCAATACAATGCGTATCATGACACAGGGGAGACAATACGATATATCACGATATATTACGATACATTCAGCCTGACGATATTAGCAATTTTTTTTAGACTGAATTTATTGTAGGAAAATACAATGAACAGTCCAAACTGATACATAACATGTCTACCATGAGGTATCTGAACCATAACAGGGATTTACCTTTCAATGGTGGAAACAAAACCCGTTGCACACTGCTGCCAACTAGCGGTCGGTATTTGAATTGCACCAAAAAATAAATAAATAAAACGCAAATGTTTGCATGTAAATTCTTCCCAAATTTGATACACGGCTTTTAAATATCTATATAATATCGCTGGAAAAAATATCACAATATATTGCCATATCGATATTTTCTTACATCCCAACTGGACTTTTTTGTTCTTACTGTATTTACGATCATTACCGTCATAAAGTGATTATAATATTAATGCGAAGAATGCATGTTGTACTGGCCTCCAATCTGCTGCTGTATCCGCTTTTGTTTTTGCCTGTTTGCTACTTTCAGCACAGCTAGCTTCTCGCCATCATTTGTCAACTCCAGGGCGGTGGTTGCATATCAACATATCTAATTGTCGAAAAAAAAGGCTATTACGTTACAAAAAGCTGGATGATATCTGCGATTTTTAAGATTGAATTTAATTGGAAAACTCAGCCAGACGCTTCTAAGACATATTCAGCGTCATTGCAAAGTCCCGTTGTTCCATCAGAACGAAGACGGTAAGAACTGCTGCCACCTAGCAGCCAGAGTTTGAGTTACACCGTACAAAAGAAATACAACGAATGTTTGCATGAGAATTCTCAATTTAAATATCTGTACACTTCTTTTCAATATCGATTCATTATCATAACACAAAATATGTTGATATTTCACTTTGTTGATATTTGTTTTACCTCCTTACTGCTGACACTACTTCTCATCCTGCGATCCTGTGCATTGTTGCCATCACATGCACTCCCATCACAATTTGGCAACAGAGGCAACAAATTACATCAAAATTAATTCATTCACATTAATAAAAAAAAGTTAAAAAGGTAACTAGTTTCTTTAATGGATGCTTTGCAGTTTTGGCTTGCTTTTAGCACCCCCTAGTGTCCGTTATTAGAACCAAACAAGAAACTTACCC